TGGTTCTTCCCTCCGTAAATATGTGCAAATGTACATTACTGTCACATTTTTGTACAGAATATTTACCTCAGTGAACGGCGAAACTGCACAATTACGGATTTCCACTCATGACAGTCAAGTATGCCACCATTTAACTACCACAGGGCGTGATAGCGTGATGTTGAGCGCTTCTGCAAGTAGCATAATGACAGCGTTGTGACAGTGGAGCTAAACGTGAACACCGAGAAGACAGAAATTACGAGACCGCCTTCCACGACCTTAAGGCCTAAGATACTGTGAAATATTATAACACTGACGACGGGGACCATCTCGAGCAAGCAGGAACTGTATAAACTTACGATGGCGACGCTGATCCTCAGTGAACAGGCGAACTGGACTAGAGACAGCGAATTTTGCCAAACTGCATAACATACGGAAGGATCGAGCTTTACAACTTATACGAAGATCACCATGCTGAAAGAAGCCGTGTTCACAGTGCTTATGTACAGTGTCGAAACATCTGTTTCTCTGAAACATCATGAACCTTGTTTTGACAGCTTTCACCGGTGGTGTCTACGAAATATCCTGAAAGTGCGATTGTGCGATGAGGTCACGAATGAGGATCTGCTGACGACCAACAGTGTAAGAAAACTATCAAATGGTGGTCAGATGTCAGCGCTTAGCTTGGTTTGATAAAACGGCCCAAATCATCTTTTCAAAAGTTGTCTTACGGGGTAACTGCCAAATGAACGTAGACGCACTGGAGATGATACAACAAATGGAAACTTACCGTTGAGGCAGATCTGCAGGAGAATAAGAAGATGACGTCTGCGGCTGCAGTATCGGTTGTCTAATATCAATATGGTATATGATCTACGAAGGTCAAGCATGATAAATCTGCTGTTTAACCTCTACCAGCTTCTAATGACAATAACATCACAACAAAAACTACAGGGTGTATTCTCAGACTTCCTTCACTTCCTGTGGTATCACTCGTCGTCTACCTCAGAAGGATGAAGGACGAATGATCATAGTTTTGCAGTAAACTCGGGAACCACGAGCCGCATGTTCTGCGTTTTAGCGATTTATCCGACTCAGCTATTGGTAACCCGTTTAGACATCCCTCACTAAACAAACAAAACAACCGCAATTTTCGGCATTCGGTCTCATTATTTGCAATGTCATATTTTTAATGACGATATCGAAAATTTCACTCGAAGTTCTGGGAAGCTAACCTAGAACACAGAGGCCATATTTTGTGCCATTTTCCATGTATTTGCGTACGGATAGTGGAAATCTTGTTTGAAATTGTTAAACAAGCCCTTGTTTAACCCAACTCATTGATGTGATCATTGATGCAATGCAGGAGCTTAAATATCATGAAGTCGTGGCCTACTTGAGTGGTCCCCCTAGGCGACTAGAAGCAATAACGTGGGACCAAGCGGTGTTATACCATCATCTGTCTAATTTCGATCAAACAAAAGTTTATTTCTTTACACGGTATACTTTCGCCGTTCAAATACGGTATCTGCTGCAATGTCATGTTTCGGCATGAAACTTAAAACAGTTTCGATTTCGAGGGAAAGTCACATGACCAAGATTTGGAAATGCGCCCAGAGACTTTTTAAAGCCGGCGCAACTGCGGAAAATTACTAATGTAAACGATAGGCTGCTCAGGGGATTCGAGTATTCTCTCTTCATCAACGCGATAAGATCTGCTTGTGCGGCTGTGCTTTGTGCAACACAGCGACGACCGTTGGTGGCCGGCTCAGGGGACACGGATGCGCGTATCCACGATTTTCGGCACAGATGGTGCCGGCTGAAATCGATGCATGGACAGTCGTCGATGATCAAAGGTTGGACAGAAACTCGCCTCGATGACCAGGTGGTATGATGCATTAGAGGCCAATTTTACGGTAGGCCATTCAACGTGATTTACAGCGAGGGTCGAACAGGAGGCGAACGAAGAGCGAGACGCAAGCCAAGAGGACCGCCAGTCAAAAGGTGGCGCAGAGGGCGGGGCAAAAACCTTGTTTTCGTGTAATGAGCTGTACCGTCTGATTTGCACCCGATGATTGGCAATTAATTGCTTTGCACGATTGACGGCAAACGACGGCCACGTTCGCCAATGGACAGCGATATCGAAAGGCGTCGCTGAAAATCCCGTGTCTCAGGGACAACACAGAACAACTATTACTGACAACTTACTTAATTTGCCGTCCAGCCGTGGGAGCGTCGTCAACGCGGCCAGCAAGGCCGCTGTCAGTAAACAAGACATCATCACCATCGCTGACCACCGTCCACTTTCGACGATCACCACAACAAGGTTACTGCGATCGATAAAGCCTAAAGCAGAATTATTTGTCAAATGTATCATCAACTCCTTGGTGCAGCTTTACGGCTAGCAGACGGCTTGTACAACGTGCCAGAAAGCGCGGGATACACGAAGTACAACCAACGAATCGCAAACGATGAGAATTGAATTCAACTTTACTGCTTAAAACATAACTCTATAGAGAAAATCCTTTGACCGTAATTCGATAAAAACTTCATCTCCTTCATCTCCCCCCAGATATGATCAAAACTTTGGTTTGGAGGCAAATAATCGATGTTCACATGAGTCCCTATCAAACTATTAATGATTCTGACTGTCGTCATCCACATATCGCAGAAGGAAAAAAAGGACTACAGTGAAATTAAGATTAGAACGTAGAGGACGAAAACGAGGACAACGAAAATAAGTAAAAGAATAAGGGTACCAGAAAGAAGAGAACGAAATTACTGTCTACAGACTGTGCACCGAAAACTTGACCCATCGGAAGCATGGACATAGAGTACATGAATTTTGCCACGCTCAAAACATATTCAATGTACTGAAGTCCATTGTGAGATATTTATTTTACTGCGCGAAGGGTAGGGTATTTGACTGATAGAGCTTTGTGGGTTGCTCTTGAAGATCAGTAACCCAACCGTGACTGAGTAGTTTTGTTGGTTGTGTCTGGAAAGCACCAAGTGAGCTTCAGTTTGCTGGCTGACTATGAAACTCTGCCCGAGAAATTTCACCAAAATTTGCGTTCATCAGACCTACGTTTCCGAAAAAACTCTATTTCTGAAGTTTTGCCCTTGGCATATAAAGGCATTGATGCATAAAAATGCGAGAACAATGTTTTTGCAATTTATAGCCTCAAATAAAAGGTTACTAAAGGTTTTATAAACTTTCTGTAGACCTTGAAGAGGCCATATATGTCAGCCACAAGCTTGTGCCCAAGTACCAATGTGTTACATACATACACAATATCAAAGTTTTATGAATACTGCTTGAAGAATTTTCGATGCAGATTCAAAATTCTTGGTCGCCAAGATCCTCAAGGAATTTATTTCACGCACAAACCTTATTTAACACAGGCCGACATCTTAATTTAAACCCGATCAATCTCAAGGAGACATCATGTAGCAATCGCGATATACAGTAGTAGCGAATTTATTTGAATATGCTCATAAATATCGAAGTTTCACTAGCGACCAATAAAGTACACAATATGATAATTGACACCATTCAAATGATTAAGGTTATGTCTTATTTCACTTCAACAGAAATTGATTCTATTCTGTATTACCGGATGATAGAGATGTCCCTTTCGAAGAGACAAACTTGTCTATTTTGATCGAATCATAAAAGAAACTGGGGACCGCATGACAGCTTCATTCGTACACCGGACTGCCGCAAATTTGCTGAGGGTTATTCGACCGTTAGATATGCAGATTGCCATATCGATGTAAAGAGGGTGTTCACCGGCAGTTTAAAGACAGTTTTCAAGGCTGAATTGCAAAGCTGCTTTGTAAAGTCATGAACGTCACCATAACATGTCAAAGTAGGTGTAAAAAACAAAGCCAACCGCTTTGCACGCGTATTTGTATATAGTCTTCCTATGAAGATAGAACTGGCTCAATCCGAAAAGCCTGGACTATTTTACGTCAAGTTTATGCAAAGGAAATTCCGTGGAGATTTCGCCGAGCAATACCAAGACATTAAAGTGTACTCAGTGCATCCTGCCATTTCGAATGATTTTGAATCTGTTAATGAAGAAAAATTCTGGCAGCTGAGAATTGCAGCGAAGGAAATCCAATGCGATTTGAATATGTCGTAGTTACAGCCATATTATTTATGTGACATAAATTTCAAAGTACTTGGAGGATAATCAGTTATACAATTCATTCTCCTCAGCAGTGTATGATTCGTGTTTCGATCACGATGACACAATTTGTACCCTACTGAAAAGTGGAACGGTGGCGATCGAAACTTTCATTCGTCCATTCATTCGATCCGCGAATCTGTTCGAGCCAGCTATTTCATTCATTTGTTAGAAAACAACCTCTGGGCTCCCAGGAAGGCGACGAGAGGACATGTCTGCAAAGTTGTTCATCCGCAGCCAGGATACTGCGTAAGATCTTGGGTAGTAGATAGTGTCACGAATGCTTAAAGTGGGCGATTCTGAGAGGCAAGATAATCTCAGCGATGACTACATTTTGAACGATATCAAATTATTTGATGATGAGGAGTCGAGTAAAAAACCTATAATTACGAAACTCCATCTTTATTTGCAGTAGCAAAGCGCCTGATTACGCACGGGACTCACAAATCGACAGTTAATATCTATTCGGGGATGAGTGAAGGACTGTGAAACGGGACTCATTTTTGAGGAGGTGAAAAAGTTCCATCCACTGAAAAAGCACGCAACACCTCGATGTTCAGCTACCTTTATTAAACAATTTTGTTCATGAGGTTGGCTCACTACTTAATGAACTCAACTCTGATAAGGTTATATAAGAATCTATTGTTCACCAGTAGTAGTACCAGAAACAGTGGCGAATATACTTGAATGTGATAATAAACGCAGATGTTTCAGCAATGAACAATGCAACAAATACTAAGACTATGCACACAACTTCTAAAAATGTGCTAATTTTAAAAAGTTATTTTGTAACGTTGAAAAAAAGCCTGTGCTCCAGAAATATCTTCAGGGAAAATTCGCACATGTCTGAGGGGCAAGCATCCGTAGATCTTCCTTCACTTTCATCATTAGACCATTTTGAAGGCCGCCTTTTCATAAGTTGATGGAACAGTGCTGATCTCCGTTCATACGCCATTAGCTATGAGTACCTTATTTCAAAGACAGTCGATAACCATGTGACCAGCATGCCGTGAAGTCTCACGTTTCCTTCCCGCAGAGTGGTAATCATTTATCAACCTCGGAAGGAAGAAGGGCGAGTGACCCTGATCTGGGCTTGAACTCAAGATATATCGGTTCTGAGTCAGATGCTCAACCGACTAAGAACCTTGGTCTAAAGCAATGTGTGGTAAATTCCTTGTTTAAGGAAAATTGTGAATAACACAAAATGATTGCCTTCGGGGGAAACAGAACCCGGCACTTAAGGGGTTCGAAGCATACTTCTTAGACAACATGCCACAAGGGATTAGTAGCATCCGTCAATTCATTCGGCCGACAGAGCATTTATGAAAGCAAACGCTAATTGGATAAACAACGCCATAAATTCTCATTAATGAAACAAACGCGGTCAAACCTCACGGCAGCTGAGGTCGTAAGTTTGCAAGCCAAAGGCTGATGTCCATGAGAAAATGTGCAGGACAAAAATTCAAAATTGGCATACATCGCAAATTTGCGGCCGAATAAGCCTTTTCGTTTCACAAAAAATACCTTTATTATTCGTATACGTTTATATGAAAATTTGAATAACATACGTCAAGAAGCACTTAACTAACAGCTGACAGAAAGACGCGGGTTTAATGCTGTCTAAATGAAAAGCAAGAGAACCATAACATCTAAGAACAATACCCTTTCCCTACCCTCTCGTCTATTGGCTAGCGGTATACCCAAAAAACCTTAGAATTATTTTATATAGTTAAAGCAGATCGGCTCCCTTAATCTTCTTCGATCGAGCGCTATGCATGATGCCCTCTCTTCACGAAGTTCAGTACAGTACTTAACGCACTTAATGCTTCATGGTAGTAGCACAGTACTCAATACCACAGTAATTTCAGTTCATTACTAACTAAATGAAAAACAAGACAACGAAGAAAGTCATCTAAAAACTGTTCCCTTTTCCTAATTTCTGGCTTATTGGGTAATGGATACGCGAGAAAGAAAGTTTATAGCTATTGTCTGTAGCAA